CGGAAGAAAACTCCTTTTGAAACGTACAGTGGTGGACCGCCAAGCATCCAGATGATGTGGATGGTATCGGGACGTTTGCCGTGTAGTGCGTTCACGAAATTTGGCGGCTGGGATTATTCTGAACAATTCCCCAGAGCACTCCCCGTGATAGATGCGATAAAATACGCAAAGAGATGCAACATCTCTTCGCAGCGCCAGTGAATCGAGCCGATCGGAAAGCACTCGGTCGTCGACGATTCGAGCCGCTCTGCGCTGGATGCGGTCAAGTGGAAGGAGCTGGTACTGGGGAGCCCCAGCCCAGAGATGAGAACAGTATTCCATGAGCGGCCGAACCTGCGCCTTGTAAAGTTGCAGGCGGTGTGCCGGCATGAAATACTGTCCCGCTCTGCTGAGCACGCCAAGCTTTTTAGAGGCCAATTTGGCCTTCCCTTCCAAGTGACCACGAAACTGCACGTCACTCGATATGTCGACGCCGAGGATTCCGATACAGGCTGAGGCAACAAGGGGAGTGCCTTGAAACTGAGGGGATACGACAAAGGGGTTCTTTTTAGCGGTTAACGCGCAAACTTGTGTCTTCTGGGGGTTAAACTGGACTAGATTTAGTCGCCCCCAATCCGAGACTCTGTCCAGCAGAGACTTGACTTCAGACACAAGTTTGTCCCGGCACTCAGAGACGTTTTCCCGAGAAATATTGGCTCGGCCGGTGTAAAGAGCATCACCAGTGCTGTCATCTGCATAGCAATGAATGCTACGGGTTTGCAACATATCATTGATATGCAGAAGAAACAGCGTTGGGGATAGCACGCAGCCCTGTGGAACACCAGCATTAATAAGCTTGCAATCGGAGCTTGCACCGTCTACAACGACCTTGATGCTCCGATCTGCAAGAAAGCTGGTGATCCAATCGCACAATTTCTCGGAAAGCCCATAGGAAGGGAGCTTCGAAAGAAGCGCTTTGTGCCAAACCCGATCGAAGGCCTTCGCAATGTCCAAACTAACGGCCAATGCCTCCCCCTTGGACTCTACTGCCTCCGCCCATCTGTGAGTTAGGTAGACCAGAAGATCACCAGCTGACCTACCACGGCAAAACCGTATTGGCGGTCACTAATCAGCTGGTGATCCTCAAGGTACCTCATGAGCTGGCAGTTTACAATGGACTCCATTGTTTTGGAGAACAAGGAGGTGATGGCGATAGGCCGGTAGTTGGACGGGTCTGAGCGGTCGCCTTTTTTAGGGAACGGGTGGACGAAAGCCGTCTTCCATGATTTTGGGACTACGCCTAGGGAGTAGGAGTACCGGAAAAGACGCGTTAAAACCGGTGCCAACTCTGGAGCACACGTCCTCAGCACAATTGGGGGGATTCCGTCAGGCCCACTCGACTTATGGATGTCCAGGGAGAGGAGTGCTTTGCGAACCGAGCGCTGAGTGAACTGCACTTCCGGCATGGAGCACTCAGACCGCGGGATGGTCGGCGGCGTACTCCCCCCGTCATCGAGAGTCGAGTTAGACGCAAAGAAAGAGCCTAGAAGATCGGCTTTCTCCTTTGCAGTGTGAGCCAGTGAGTCGTCCTCCCTGTGCAGAGATGGAAGAGATGGCTGACAGAAATTCCCCTGGACAGCCTTGGCGAGAGACCAGAATGCACGGGTTCCAGAAGGAAGACGAACTAGACTCTCGCCAATTCTGCCTATGTGCTCTGACTTTGCCTTGGCAATGACTCTTTTGAAGGACCTAGAGGCGGAATTATACTTCTTTTTTAGAGCGCTGGTGTTTACATCCCTGGACGCTGATGCGTCAGCCCAGGCTCGGTAGCACTCCTGCTTATAGCATGATGCTATTTTACAGGAGCGACCAAACCATGGCTGAGATTTGCCTCCAATGGGCACCACAGAGGAAGGAATAAAAAGTTCCATACCCTGAAGTACCGCATCAGCGACAGAATCCGCAACAACGTTGGGATCGTCCGGCGAGAACCAAACCCGCCCCCAAGGGTAGGATGCAGAGAAAGACCGCATCCCATCCCAATCGGCTGACCTATAGTGCCAAACACGGCGGCAGCCTGCAGAATGCAACCGCGATTTCACTGCAGAATATAGGCCGAGGCTTTAACTATAGTTTAATAAAATAAATATTATAAAATGCGGGATAGCAAGATTGTTTCAATACAATATTTTGACATATTATATACTTCTAATATATTAAATTAAAACTAAAAGTGAGAAAGTACCTGACCATTTTAATGCTATGATACAAAATCCTACGTAGAATCGTATAAGAAAAAAAATTCTCGTCTCTGTAATATCGTTCGGTGTGGTGTCTCTATATTATCATGGAGAGCGCGCCTGTTGATCTAACTCTCTCTAAATTTACCGTACCAAATGGTGTGGCGGTGCAACTAACATTAACTTAAAACTAATATAAACAGTACAAAATAAATAAATAAAAACCTCACACCATTTTGGCTTTTATCATCATCCAAAACTATACACCAGAAATAAAATGACAGTGATCTACACACATACAATACATGCATAATAATATATGTACTAAATCGTTCAAAAGCTCAATCACTTGCATCTAACTCTTTAGTAGGTTATAGGATGCCGTGTCAAAAACATAAGGACAATAACGACTTAAATATATTGGAAAATAAACAAATTTTGTTTCTGAGAAAATTGTTAATTCTTTCTGGGATTCGAACACACGAACAATGTAGTAGCCGTTGCGTACTTTGACTTTAAGCCCACGCGATCGTAATTAGGGCTGCAATCGTAAATAAATACACGTTATTATGTACAAGTAATGTTCCATAATGCTTGCATGTAGTTTTTATAACGATTAACAATTTTGCTATTTTTATCCTAATTATCGGTTCAAAGCGGTAGTTTTGCACTGAACGGATCCAACGATATGCTCTGTTAGGCAACCAAACGTATCAAGGAAATAATTGCGGGGATAATTAAAAAACGACTCTGTATAATCAATTTATAACTATATGTGCTTAATCGTAAAGTTTAATAGTCTTTTTTATGTCAAGTCATACTTATATTTAGTTAGTATAAAATAATTTAGATCGTACTCCTAGTGCTATGATCTGTATTCGAATTAGTTAAATTAAATTGAATTAGGTAAATTAGCCAAGAAATAATCCGCCAAGATGGGATATCTCAGCAGATGCGTGATGTCTGTTAGCAGACTTTACATGTCCTCGCAATATTTATGCAATTTTTCAAATTTAAGCAGATTCTGATTTAGCACGTTCTTGACAAGGAATGAAACACACCGTTGAGCACGTGCTTAATCAGTATCTAAAATCGCTATTTCTGCAGTGGTTCCAGAAGGATCGAACTCGATTTGCTTGTGTCCTATGTTGTTTTTAGGCGAGCTCTTATCTTATTATCACCTAAGTTTTGTGCTTGAACCTTTGAGAAAATCGAAGTTTTTTTTATGGTCACCTTACTGCGATTATTATATTTGATCTCAGTGCCGTTAAAATATAGGTGACATTGTTTTTCATGATGTATTTCATGATATAACACTTTTTTGAGGCTTATTTAATTACGAAGTAAAATAAAAGAAGTGACGCTATATTAATATTAGGTTTAATGAGCTGCGGCAATATCATAAACAGCTTTTTTAATATTTTAGAATGTGTATTACGGGTTTCGTTAAGCTAATGATTTTCCATTACCTCTATCAAACTTTCGTTATCAATGTCATTCTCGTAAAATGTCACTGTCGAAGCATTCACCACAGTCATCGCGCGTACTTCCGTCTCAGTTTCTTGCAGCTGACGGACGCTTTTCAATGACAAAAAGAAACCGATGAGTGCATTCCATGTTACGCCCAATGGAATAAGTGCGCAATAAATCATCACCTTTTTGCGGGCCAGCGTAACTTTTTGTTACGTCCGTGTCACATCACCTAATGAACGCAGTTTTTGCTTTTTTATACAAAATTGTAAGGTTATTTTTTGTAATCGTGACAAAAGTCTCTAGCGTGCGTTAGCTCCTATTACTGTATTATAAAAATACTTAGATTGAACTGTTTTACTAGTAATTTTTCTATGAATGTATTGTAACTGCTAAAAGTTATCAATTTGGCACCATATAATAAAAAAAACATTCAGTGTATAACTTTTATATTTCAGATTAGTACATGATTTTAAAATTATATATTATATATTGTCCGTTTTTCTTTACCTACGAGTAAATTCAATAGTAAAACGTCCTTCTTTACGAGTGAATTCAATAGTAAATTCAATAATAAAATGGCCATAGTTTAAATCAAAATATATTTTTAAATGACAAATTGTTCATAAAGTAAGCTACAGTTTCCGAATAATTTAAAATTACACTTAATTAATAATTTAGGAATATTTTCTGAATTATATTCTGCATCTAAATAATAGGTTCATACAGAACAAACTTTTCACTTAATAAAGTTTCAGCAAAACTTATTTTATCATCAGCCTTATTATTTCTTGTTTTGATTTAGGGAGTAAATCTTTAAGAAAAACTGCAGAGAATACTCATGCTGAGGTCAGTTTAATTCGTTTGTGCTGCTCATTAAATTTTACACAAAATGATAAATAAGTCAAATAACAAGTATGTAAATAATAACTAACTCGCTTAAAATACGTGTGCCGCTACTATAATGCTATGCATGAGCTTACCCATACTAAATATAATACAAAATATCTGTAGTATATGAATTACTTGCTAAATATTTATTCTAAAAACACCTATATCACAAACAAATTATATTCGCGCCTAAACAAATTCATGGTTACATTTTGACTAGTATGACTAGATGCTTAATGTGATAAAAAGAGAAGTTTTTTTAAATACAGTATTTCCCTACGAAGCATGTGACAGATGTTGTTAATGTGATATTTCACTTTATCATTTATTATTTAATGAGAATAAACATTTAATAGCAGTGACATCAGTTATAATACGAGATCTGTTTAATGAAATAGTTCACATTAAAAATAATAATGTCTAGACGTAGTAGGAGTGCTGGCTAGCCGGACAGGTGTCTTGAAGTGGAGAACGCGAACCGCATCCGACTAACACCCGGCAAGAGGGGACGGGAGTTGATGTATATTGCTGAAAAAGAATTAGTATTTATATAATATATTTTATTACGCTATTTTATAACAAAAGTAATAAATAAAAATATATAAAATTAAATAGGAAATGTTACAGCTTAAATACGTCCCATAGTTTGATCTGACCTACTTTCATTTCTGGCTGAAATATAAACTTTAATTTTATGAGCTTACAAACCATTTCTAAAATTTAGGTAGCTTGGTTTCTAATCGCACTCATATTTCCATGGTGTTCTATGGAACTGTAAAAGCCTCGTGACTAATAGCACGGGTCTGTATCACCGAAAAATGATATTAAGACAAGACTACGTTTAAACAATTTGAGTATTAAAAACAAAATTTACCCATACTTTAAGCTAAATTTCTTGCCTATTTTAAAATAAAAATTAGAATCTAAAAGTTATTAAACAAGTAATGGCGTTAGTTTCTTAATATCAGCAAAAAACGTTACGATATCTTCCATTTAACACACGTTGAATACTTACATTCTGACATCTTGCTAATTGATTAACCGTAATGTTGGTGGTGCCGACCAGGCGCTCCTCGCGGACGAAATCTGGCTCCCGATGGAAAACACCTAATTTACCATGAGAAATTAAATATTTATTCATTATATATTTATTTATATATATAAAATATACCTTTACAATGCGACCACTTCTTGCGAACAACTTCTTTATAACGAATTTTCAATTATCAAGAAAAAGTGTAAATACCTCTAATTAACGAATTATGTTAACCAAAAACCTTTATATAAAGTTCCCACCAATGTATGACCCTTAATCCAATAGTACGTGATTCATGTCGCGATAGGTTTCGACACGCTTTTTTTCGTAAAACAATCATTGTTGTTTGATAGAAAGTAGGTAATGTAAACACTGGCGCTCGTCACTATTGTTAAAGATTCAAGTTGAAATGGCTCAGAAACGTAAAAGGTGTTCCTTATAAGTCACACAAAAGCGGTATATCATTAATTATTTTGATAAAAATCCTATGAAGAAAAAATTAGACATACTTAATAAGTTCGGGATTCCCGCAAGTACATTGGCTACAATTTTAAAATTTTAAGATAAGTTTTCAGAAGAAAGTGGTTTGTATTAATAGAAGTTGTGAATAAAACTATTATTTTTTACCTTTTTATAACAAATTTTAGATCAACCTAACCTCAACATAATAAACCTCAGTTCGACGAATTACTTGATATAACGAATATATACTTATTCCCTTCCGATTTATTATATCGAGGTTGCACTGTATATAGTAATATACATTCTTATGTAAAAATAGAGATATTATTTTTCAAAAATGAATGTTAATTTTTGTGATTAAAGATAATTTCGTCAATGTTTGAGTGCACAATTTAACAACGTCAACTTTTGTAATTATTAATATTAGTATAACATTTATATATTTATGCACAAGTAGCCATTTATTTTGTAAAAAAATCATTCAAAAATATATGTGTATCAAGTTTTATCATAATTGTCTTTAAAATTTATCACATTTTGAATAATGAAAAAATATAAAAACAATAAAAACAACATTTATTCATGTATAATTATTTAGTATAAATTAAACTGTAGGCAAAATTCTTCTCTTTGCTTGCATGTAGTATGGGCTGATACTTACAAAAAATTATTCAGCAGAAGCATGCATAACATCTACAGCATTAATAATAATTTATATATCCTAGCTATAACAAGTATTTAATTTAATTCTTACAGGAAAATAAAATCACATACCATCAGACCGAGGAACTAAATCAGGGTTATCTGAATTTTCACGTCTGATTTTAATGGCTCGTGCACAGAAAGCTGTCGCGGCAACTGCCACGGCGACAGCTACTAGACCAGCGGTGGCTTCCACCCACCACGTCCACGTTGCAGCCGTAGTGTTTTCTGTTATTGCTTTTACAGATAAGAAATTTTTATCATTTAATGTGAAAAAAAGAAGCAACTCAACTTTTAAACGGTTTAGCTTTTACATATTTTAGTCTTTTGCGCGAAAATAAAATCGAGATGATTTAGTTTTGACTTGATTTATGTAATATTGATTTTTGTAAGAATTATTTTATAACGTACCGGATGCGCTTAAAGGTGTAATTGTCTGTAGATAGATCGTTTTTGTTAAACTCCTTCCTCTTACATTGCTGGCGTATAAAAAGGCCGTCAAGTTCCTATCTTCCTCTACATCTGGCAAATGGAAGTGGCCGGCTGCATTAGACACGTTGTGTAAGAGTGTGCCATCACCACTAAAGAGCTCTAAGTGAATTACTTGAGAGCGCCCACCATCCCATCCTGTCAATGGAAATCGTAGAATATATTATTTATATATAAATATATTATATATATATAAAAAGGCCGTCAAGTTCCTATCTTCCTCTACATCTGGCAAATGGAAGTGGCCGGCTGCATTAGACACGTTGTGTAAGAGTGTGCCATCACCACTAAAGAGCTCTAAGTGAATTACTTGAGAGCGCCCTCCATCCCATCCTGTCAATGGAAATCGTAGAATATATTATTTATATATAAATATATTATATATATATAAAAAGGCCGTCAAGTTCCTATCTTCCTCTACATCTGGCAAATGGAAGTGGCCGGCTGCATTAGACACGTTGTGTAAGAGTGTGCCATCACCACTAAAGAGCTCTAAGTGAATTACTTGAGAGCGCCCACCATCCCATCCTGTCAATGGAAATCGTAGAATATATTATTTATATATAAATATATTATATATATATAAAAAAGGCCGTCAAGTTCCTATCTTCCTCTACATCTGGCAAATGGAAGTGGCCGGCTGCATTAGACACGTTGTGTAAGAGTGTGCCATCACCACTAAAGAGCTCTAAGTGAATTACTTGAGAGCGCCCACCATCCCATCCTGTCAATGGAAATCGTAGAATATATTATTTATATATAAATATATTATATATATATAAAAAGGCCGTCAAGTTCCTATCTTCCTCTACATCTGGCAAATGGAAGTGGCCGGCTGCATTAGACACGTTGTGTAAGAGTGTGCCATCACCACTAAAGAGCTCTAAGTGAATTACTTGAGAGCGCCCTCCATCCCATCCTGTCAATGGACATCGTAGAATATATTATTTATATATAAATATATTATATATATATAAAAAGGCCGTCAAGTTCCTATCTTCCTCTACATCTGGCAAATGGAAGTGGCCGGCTGCATTAGACACGTTGTGTAAGAGTGTGCCATCACCACTAAAGAGCTCTAAGTGAATTACTTGAGAGCGCCCTCCATCCCATCCTGTCAATGGAAATCGTAGAATATATTATTTATATATAAATATATTATATATATATAAAAAGGCCGTCAAGTTCCTATCTTCCTCTACATCTGGCAACTGGAAGTGGCCGGCTGCATTAGACACGTTGTGTAAGAGTGTGCCATCACCACTAAAGAGCTCTAAGTGAATTACTTGAGAGCGCCCACCATCCCATCCTGTCAATGGAAATCGTAGAATATATTATTTATATATAAATATATTATATATATATAAAAAGGCCGTCAAGTTCCTATCTTCCTCTACATCTGGCAAATGGAAGTGGCCGGCTGCATTAGACACGTTGTGTAAGAGTGTGCCATCACCACTAAAGAGCTCTAAGTGAATTACTTGAGAGCGCCCTCCATCCCATCCTGTCAATGGAAATCGTAGAATATATTATTTATATATAAATATATTATATATATATAAAAAAGGCCGTCAAGTTCCTATCTTCCTCTACATCTGGCAAATGGAAGTGGCCGGCTGCATTAGACACGTTGTGTAAGAGTGTGCCATCACCACTAAAGAGCTCTAAGTGAATTACTTGAGAGCGCCCTCCATCCCATCCTGTCAATGGACATCGTAGAATATATTATTTATATATAAATATATTATATATATATAAAAAGGCCGTCAAGTTCCTATCTTCCTCTACATCTGGCAAATGGAAGTGGCCGGCTGCATTAGACACGTTGTGTAAGAGTGTGCCATCACCACTAAATAGCTCTAAGTGAATTACTTGAGAGCGCCCACCATCCCATCCTGTCAATGGACATCGTAGAATATATTATTTATTATTATTATTGAAATTAATCAATTATGGCTATGCGTTTGGCTGTAGTGAACAACTATTTTATGGCTTATTAATAATTGATGACGGCCAGTAAGCTTGTCCATGTATAATTTATGAATGCTCATCACCTTCATAGCACAGGAGAAAATTCTAGTGTGTTATGTTAAGTTAAAAATTGGTAAATTGCGCAATAAAAATTAACTTTGAACTTGATTTTATCGTTCAGTTTAAGAAATTTAAACTTCTTTGAAGATATAAAATTATATAAAATATTTATTTTTACAAAAGAGCTTTATTTCTATTACCTTTTTGACACTGAACTCGTACGGTATGTGGGTATGAACGTAGTAATCCACAGTCTGGAGGATGTGGTGGTCCACCTGCCGCAACTGCATATGAGCATGGCTTCTTCTGCTCCCCAAAACTATTTGTCGCTCGACACAGTAACAACCCAAAGTCCCCGTCTCGAGGTAGCCATGTCAAAGTGGAGGAGTAACGATGGTGGTGTCCAGGAACTTTCTGTTGTAAAAAGATGATCGCAGTTTTTAACGGCAGTACTGAGAAAATTATGTAATTATAGCCCTTTTGCTTAAGTAATTTTACTAATTTGACGTATTAGTGTTAGCAATTGCAGGTAAACCCAATAAAGAGGAAAAAAATACTTGACAGTGTATTTGTTCCGCATAATAATAGAAATAATTGTCAGAAATTATCGAAGAAAACTAAATAAGACTTCCTAATTTTTACGTAGTGGTGGTGGTGGACTTAAAATAAATTATCACTCTTTTTCATTATGTGAGTGTTAAGTAGTCGATTTTAGAAATTTTCATTAAAGTAGTTCGTAAAGTGTGGCAATAAGGTAAATAGGTAAAAAAGGTTTACAAATTAACAGAACACAACAAAAAAACATGAACGACATTCATTTAAATAGGATCAAATGTTCTGAAAAAAATCAGTACTGCCCAGCCATTAGGCACCAGTTTCGCCCAATAAAGTCCCCAAAATGCGCAAACGCAAAACATTCATCTCGGGAATTTTAACTAATTATCAAAGTAAGTAGCTAAACAAAATTTGCAATTAATTTCAAGTAGGGTGTGGTAGTGAGCCATATAACGGTGAAGATGAGCGTTTTAATGCAACTGGCACAAAACACTCATCTTGCAAAATCTAACTAACATCTCGTTAACAATAAAAATGGAAAATCAAAAATATTACGAGTATTTGTATGACAAATTTGTTAATAATAACAAAAATGTAAATAAAATAATAATAAAAATATAAATAATTCAAAAAATTCTACTAAAACAATTCAATTTGCTCATTTGGAATATAAATTGCCATACGTCTGGAAATGTTACGTGCATTGTTTAGTTTGTGACGTTGTTATTTTGGTTTATACCATCTGCAGGTAATGAGTTTGTGAGTTATGTATTAAGTCTTATAACTGCAACGATAATAAATAGATAGTGAAACAATTTTGTACAAAACTCGTATTTGCTTTAATTTAGCTTATGTGTTTAATTACATTGGTTATTCCAAATAAAACAAACACTTAAAATTGTTGATAATCCTTAAGTCTCGAATGTAATGAATAATGCAAATTCTCTTTAAATATTTATTTGTTTTTATTCATTTCTATTAAGAATTGTTTAATTTGTTTTTCATTTTATTTGGTTAATTTCACAGTTTTAGTTTGTTTCTTCATCATTATAAACCCAAAAATGCTGTGGCATCGATCTAACTTTTCCTTCTTTATTGAAAAAGTAATTATGGTAAAGTCTGCTTAAAACGGAAGATCTTACCTTTACGCTGGTGTATAAGGTTCTGGAATCTGCAAAAGTCCAACTGAACTGCAATGGTTCTGGAGACGCTTCAACCACGCAAGTTACAGTCTCGGCTTCTTGATGCACTGCACCGATCGTTTCCTCACGTGACGTTAAACACAGAGGCCGATCTAACATAAGTAAAAAAACATATTAAGATTGATAAAAACACAGCAAAGTTAGGCATTTGTTAAGTGGTCGTCGGGTAAACAAGTTGCGAAGTGGTAGACAAGTTGCGCTGGCATATTATAGGATTATCCGAGGACCGAAGAGAAGGGGAGGACACGGTAATCCTTGAATCCAACAACTTGTTCTATCACCGGGATGGCGACCATCTGTCTCAAGGAGGTGTCGGATTTATCGTTCACATGTCTCTCGTAAACAACGTTGTAAAGGTTGGGAGTGTGTCGACGAGAGTTGCGTATCTGTTACTTAAACTCACCAAACGGTATTCGCTAAAAGTCATACAGGTTTACGCACCAACCTCTGCACATCCCGATGAGGAGATGGAGGAAATGCATGAGGATATCTCTAGAGCCATGCCTTCCTCCAAAACCCACTATACGGTGTTGATGGGAGACTTCAACGCAAAACTAGGCATAAGAGAAAGTGGTGAGCTGAGGGTAGGGAAATTTGAAATAGGGCAACGGAGTCCAAGGGGCCAGCAGCTGGCCGACTTCATGAAGAAAGAGGGACTCTTTATGACGAATTCTTTCTTCCAGAAGCGGCTCTACAGAAAGTGGACCTTGTCGAGCCCCGACATTTTAACAAAAAATGAGATTGACTTCATTATGACGACCAGACGCCAACTGTTTAGTGATGTCTTAGTGATCGCGAGGGTGAAAACTGGCAGCGATCACCGAATCGTTAGAGACAAACTGAACCCTTAGTTGGAAGGTCTCCGGAAGTGAATGCTCCGTCCCCCTCGTGCGCTAATCCAGGGTCCCGAAAACTTTCAGCTCGAATTACAAAACCGTTTACAGTGCCTAGAAGACTGTAATACAGTGGACGATATGAATGACAAGCTTGTTGAAACTTATCATGTCGGTGCTAAGTTCTGCAAGACCCGCTGCAGAAGAACACAAAAACTCTCCGATCACACTCTTAATCTCATGGCTGTTAGACGGGAAATGAAGCTTCAGTCTTCAGTAGATTTGACAGCATACGGGCAACTGAACATACAGATCTTCAAATACATGCGACGGGACTTACGCAATTTCAATACAGCTCGTATTGAAGAAGCGGTTAAGCAGAACCTGGGCTCCAAAGTCTTTGCCAGAGATCTGTATGCCAGAAAGAGCCATTTGTCGAAGCTGAATACCGAGTGGGCAGCATCGTTTTCGGGACACTTGAGTTATTGAGGGAGATTGATTGGTTCTATGTATATTCGGTATGTTTTTTGTGTATATCTATCTATATATATCTAACTTTCAATTTATTATAAGATGTAACCTGCGCATGTCCTTTTGTGCTCATTACGGTACGTAAATTTTATATTCCGCAAGTGACCTGTACACAGCAGTGGTTTGTACATAGACTGGAACTTTATGTTTCTTTACGGGCTAGATAAGTCGAAATGACACTTACATCCAACATTCAAAGTGACTTTATCTTCAAATTTAGCGTTCGGCAAGTGAGAGTTGTGCGCGCTACACGTCAAGTCATGTTTATTGTCCCTCAAGGCCGGTGTCAATGTCAGTGACGAAACTGTATAGTTGCCATCATGTAATTCCTAAAAAATAAGTTCATATTATTTACTGAAAATTCTCTTGAAAGGAAGCATATTACCCATTACCAACAACGGGCGTCCATATGTTTCGCTTTACTAACTACTAGGTTCCGCGTGAAAGCTCTCTACTTTTTGCCTAACCAGACCACATATTTTGATGGAAACAGAGTTGTAATGTAGTATTGTAACGAACAGGTTCTATAGTTTTAATTCCTTACTTTTATTTATTTATTTAAACTTTTATGTATAAAAATAATATGTATTAAGCCCATGTTATGCCTACATATTCTCCAAGTATATTAAGCTAAATCGAATTTGTGCAATTTATACAGATCAGCCGACTAGGATCTTGTTCATGTACTAATTAAAGTTCTCTTGAGATGAAAGGTAATCAAAGAGTCCAAAATTAGACCAAGAGACCAAAATTATTCCACCGGTTCTCTTATCATCTTCTCTAAAAATACCGTATGACCCCTAAATCGTAAATTGTTGTTATTTTAAATAATTGAATTATAAAAATTAAAAACGACTTTAATTTTCATAGGATCTGGTTGAAAATTCAATGCCTTCCATTAGTTATTTAATACCTTACACCCAAACTTATTTATTATAAAATTATGATCGCCACCGCAAAATTAAGAACTTATTTTTGTTATAATTGATAGAATCAGACGTTACTTTGCGGAAATCCATTATAATAAAGATATTAATAGTTATTTTGCAACCATCCACAAAATTAAATAAAATGATGTGTCTTCCCTAGTTTGAAGAGTACCTCCCGCCCTCCCTCAATTGCGTGCACTAATCCCGTCACCACCAATCCCAGCAACACTACTCCCAACTGCCAACACCACTATTCTAGGAAAGACACACACATCATCGACGATCATACGATACGTGTTTCGCCTCTACACGAGGCATCTTCAGGTGATGTTGACTCTACGGCGGCTTACGGTCACTTAGCGGTCAGCCACGGACATCTACATCTATCCTAGATTAAGAATTAAAATTTAGAAGAGTTGTCAGCCCTGAGGACTGAGAAAAGGACATGATCCCTCATACTTTACTGATAGTAATTACAAATTCTGCAGAAATGAGTGGCAGAGTCGTCAAGGGACAATCTAAACCAAAGTTTATCAACGAAATTGTCCATATTGTGAATATGGTCAGTTACAGAATACTACGTCTCCACGAGTTTGTTCATCTTAGCATATGATGTGCTAAAATGGACTACCTCATTTTCAATAAAATGGGTCTCCGGTTCTCTACACTCACCACACGAAATACAGTAGTAGCATTGCGCTGCTATTTTACGCTGATATTCTGTGAGAGCGTGGTCCTACCCTGTTCTAGCCGACCCAAAGACCCTTCGCCAGAATATCGGAGTAAACCAGAATGTTATGCTGTAATAGGAAGCAATGAGATCTATCTGACGTTTTTCTTAGTCGTCACTTACGACACACGCGGGTTGAAAAATTGTTTCTCTTACGTCGCCATCACATGGCGAAATAAAATAGTTTAGAAATTAGGCATGTAACTTTCGAGCTTAAATATATATTATTTCTAAGATCTATGCGAAGGCCTCCATCGAGAACCAAAGCACCAAAATTTACTCCTTGTCCTTTACTCTACAGAAGAGTCATTAGGTAGCAGTGTTCGTTTAAAGACTTTCTTTTCTAATAGATAATGGAAAATTACTTTGTGTACGCTTGGTCTCAGCAGATTTTCACCTAAGTGCCAAGTCACAGATGGTGGCGGAACGCAACCAACGACTACGCAATCAACCACTCGCGGCTGACCAGCCTCGAAGTCGTAGTTGTGGTCCAACCGGATTTCCACGCTGATTGGAGGCACTAAAAGGAAGGTTGTGTAACGTTACTAACATTATTCTTAAAAATTATTAATATTTTTAAATTATATTAAATAAAATATTACAAGAATATTTTTGTAGATTTGCCGATGAGATATAGAGGCAGATAATAATTATGAAAGTTTGTCACGATCCCTAAAAACTTATTTAACACAAATTAAAAATAATAATGAATAGGTGGGTAGTAGTATCTTCTTAATAGCATCTCTTAATAATAAAAAAACCGCTTGCCAAACGTGGGAAAATGACAAGTATCCCTCCTAAGAGGCTTTTTTGTGGGCCTATGTTCAGCTGCAGACTTTTATGTATTTATTGAAACGGAAAACAATATACAGGAATTTCTTTAAGTAGTTGAAGATATAGATAGGTAGCTTTGAGTTAGAGTTGACTCTGTTTTGTTTTGTTTTATTATTATCAGTTTTATTTTGTGATTGTAGGACCGCTTCTCAATCTAATCAATAAATTGAAGTTATTTATAGGACAAAATAAAAGAAATAAAAAGCTTACTGTTATAAAAGAATTAGTGCAATTATTTTACTTCAATATTCAGATACGTTGTAATTTATTTTGTGGCAACTTTTCTTTTACAATTCAATGTAATCGGCCCTAATCGTTCAGAATCAATTAACGCAGCCATAGTTTTCATGAGCGAAATCTTTCATTTGTTCACTCCTAATTACAACGTTGGTACTGATAGCAACAGAATTGATACTGAATTAAATCAGTCATAAATAAATGTTGAGGAATAAGTATATCCACGAAGTTCTTATTCATGTTTTCTCTGTTCTTGGAGATATTTTTATGCAACTGAAGTGATAAACGAGTTTACAGTACACCTGATGATAACTGGTGTACAATCCACGGACAACTGCAGCTTAAAGCAAAGAAGGTTGCAGATGAGTTGTCGTCTCATAGCCTGGAATTGTACTGGTTCTCTACACACTACACCGGGACACAGCTATTTTATCTTGTTCTGTTCGAATACTTTGATACCGTTACGATTAAAATTACTTACAATACATTCTGACGACAACACTTGCACTCAGTGGGTCAGTGACATCTGCGTTCTGCGCGAGGCACTCGTAATGTGCATCGAGTTCGTCACGCGTTGCGTTGTGTACATGAACTTCAGCTCGAAGCACGCCCGGTCGCGCAGAGTGTGCGCGCTCAATCACAATACCGTTTCGCCTCCAATAAACTAGGGTATCTGGTTGTTCTGAAAATGGCATTTCGTCCATTAAGTTGATGAACCTAATATGATCTCATCTCACCTCACATATTAAAAAAATCTGGCACTATACGGTACCATCATCAACCTCGCAGATTAACGTTAGATCTGAACCAATGCTTAACGGGCCTATGTGTCCTTGTTCGATTATTTCACCCGCCACGTTGTAAATTCTGGGCATTCCCGGTGACTCTGTATAAAAAATAAATAAAAATAAAAGACTGAATAGTAGGTTTCTATAACTTCAAAAGATATTTTACCATGCTACAAAATGTTTCTTTACCTACTAATCTTACGTCGATCACATAATCCAGAGAAGGAGATGCTTGATAATGCACTCGACACCTGTAAATACCTGCATCTTGCTCAGAGACACGTTTAAGAAGAAGAGAAGTATCGTCATGGCACGAGCCAGAATCACATGATGTGCCAAATATACGGTCTTGGTTTACTGACCTAGAAATTATAACTTGCTTAATAAAACGCTCGGATTGGCATGGGAAGGGGTCACCACTCCCACATTATGGACACCGTGAATATATATCATGGTCAGGAATTAATTAAAAAAATACAAAGGTACCAGGATTTTGTATAGTTAATTTAGTGTACACATACAGATCTCTTACTCTTATTTAATTGAGCGGAAATTGTTCTTTTGCAAATTATATATTTTGGAAATGAAATAAATGAAGTGCTAATAGTCAAATCAGTACTTGAAAGATCATTTGGTAATTGCCACTAATCCACTGACCACTAAGCTACCACGTCTCTTGCGTTTAAGATAAATATAAATGCGATTTTAATACATAGTTAAATATGTGACTTATGTCTTTTTCAATATCAACAAGTAAACATCCACTACCTGTTGAGGGGCTTTTCTCTGTGTAAACAGGATTTGCCATAACAGTACGATTAGCTAGTGCATTAGCAATCGCAGTATTAGAGATCTCACAAGTTAACGCTGCACCCTATCCCAGTCTCGATGTATAACAGTTATAACTCTAAACGGTTTAAGCAATTTAAAGCTATAAAATATTTCTGAACTTTCTACAGTGACGTCAGCAATGAGAAGAAATGCGGTGATGGATTCGATTACTTCACCATTTTATACTGTTACTGTTAGTAACTATCACGTGTATATGCTTCATAAAGCATGTATGAAGGTATATAGTTATACTCATTAATCCAAGAATATATATTTAAACTATTTACGTTAATCTACCTTCTCTCTGTGTCTTCATTGGGGAATCTGTACAGGAAATCTCTGTCGTTTTTCAGCCAAAGCACATAAGAGTCAGGACCATCCAAAAAGACTTTTCCTTGGCCACAAGGTAGTCTAGCGTCACGACCGCGCACAGCTCTTAGCACAACAACGTCTGAAAAGTAAAAATCTTTATCAGTTACTAACTTAAAGCTCAAAATTTAATAAGTAATTCCGCATAAAAACTTTATATATATTCAGTGACCAATCTTATATTTATTATTATCTACTTACACTTTATGAAAAATATACATAAGCAATTTAAGTAAAATCCGATGATGACTATGATATAGGAGGAACTATACTTTTCGAAGTAGGTTGGTGGAGCCACGTGTCTAAGGTTGCCGAAGTCTAGTTCCCCAGTCGAACCTTAAACCTATTACGAGAGATATTAATCTAAGTGGACTGTATCTACAAAATGCTTCTACGCTTATATAACGACGACTATAGCGCGCAGTACAATGCACTCGCTCTTCCCTAAAATGAACTATTATTTGCCAAATCGATGAAAGGAATCCTGCTTGATTAGGAAAACACAAAATTGGAGCGGGTTAAACAATTATATCAAGCAGGCAGTATTATTAGGAAATGTTGAGTCACCGGGATGTTCTTCTATGCGGTCGAGCACTATAACTGCGACTTCTGGAACTTCTTCTGGAACACTCCGGAGAGGGGCGGTGCGCGACTATATCTCACACGAGGTGAGGCGGGTTTCCTGGAGCTCGACTGCTTCCAGGCTAAAGCGGTTCTACTAGCGGTGTGGTTCCAATGACGAGCGCGGCGGGAAGAGGCTGCGCGTCGGTCGCGCGTGCCTTACATATCCTCGGTTCCGATGATTACGTGACATTCTAGAATCATCTTCATTCCCTCCCACCCCATCACCCCGATGTGTCGATAGGAGGGTATGAATGATATCGTTTTGGAAAGGGACAACCGACTTGGCAACCTACCGTCAAATATAAAATAAATACGAATGGTTTTTCCGCGCAACCATAGGTATAATATATATATATATATATATATATATATATATATATATATATATATATATATATATATATATATATATATATTGTTGCGCGCCATAATTAATGCCTGATACATGGCGGGTTATCATTAGCCGCCACCTAATATCGAGTTATCGAGTAGCAGAAATAGGAGCGTCAAGATCTTTCTAGATTAAATTCACCATTAACATTATCATTCAATTTTCTTACGACTTTATTCAGAATCACAAGCAACATACAAAAACATATTAATCGGAACACCATCTAAATTACTCGTAAGTACACTTGCATTAGCCTTCGATTTAAATTTTTGTCTAAGATTTTAGAAGTTAAAATTTACGTATTAACTGCGGCTCGGGTCCAAGCCAGGACTTAGGCTAGGAAGCCTAAGACTTAACAGGTAATTACACTAAATTCATAGTAGTTAGATACATAGTAGTGAGCAGGAAGTAGTCCTTAAAAGATTATGTGACAATACTAAATACTGTATAACGATGAAGATAGCTTAGTCACCTACAAATTACGTATAATATTGCATATTACTTACTGTTTATTTTTGTTTAATATTACGAAAATTACATTTACTATGTAATGTTAAATATCACGACAACCAGAAAAAGAAAGTATTTAAAAGATTTGCCCTTTGGAAATTTAAAATAATAATCCAACGTCACTTACCCATGTCTAAACTTAGTACTTTTAATACACAACAACAATAGAAGAAAATCATATGAATTATCATGGTATACCTGCAAGAAAACGATGTTTCTGTTCAATTTAATATATTTTATTATACTTAATATTAAAAAAAATGATTAATTTTACTGAGAATTATTCTCAGTAAAATAGCTAAACAATAAACAGTGAGTCATACAAAAACAAGTTAATAAACAATTGGACGCACAGCCATATCTATATATCGAACTCGCCAGCTTAAAATGATCTTTTAGCCACTAAGCTTGACTGTCGCTCTAATCCAATTAGAAAAGCGCCAGGAGGGGTGTAACAGGTCAAGTTACGGCGGAACTGAAGAAGTGCATTTATACACGCAACCTCCCTTATTTTAGTATGACTCACATTTTGTATTGCGTCGGGAAACGAGGGTAATGAAGAAGAACTCTCTAAACTTTTAGCGCCTATAAAGTACTTGAACAGAATTCGATAAAAACAATAAGTTATTTATTTTCTTTATATATTTGTAAAAACAGTATTTATATTTGTAACTACAATTTTTATTTTATTTATGTATAAGTATTTATACATTATAAAAAGTTTGTTCTATCGTTACAAAACTTACAGATATTTTAAACGTTTTTGAATCACAGCTAAATTGCAGTTAATTATTGCATTAAAATTACTATATTTTGTTCCAAGCGCCGTGTAATAACTACGTAAGAAAATCCACTTCCCAATATCGTGTCGTGGGCGTGGTGAGAAGCGACATACGAAAACAGAAATGGGAGATGAGTAGTAGTATCTCATCTTCGTGACAGCTCGAAATAATAAAAAAATACTGCAGTTTCTAGCCCGCCTGCTAAGCGAGGCAACACCTACAAAAATTGATATGTTCAGCAGTAGTCTTTTCATAGGCTATAACAGCCTTTATTTTTACCACAACGAGGCACAAGCCTCTCACACTTCCCAGAGTTCTACGAGAGCCCACCGAGCTGAGAGTATTGGCGGCCTTCAAACCTCGAAATATAATTAATTTCTAAACCATTTCGATTTCCTCAGTAAGTTTGCTTCACAGTTAAGTAAACGAGCCAAAATCGACACTTAAAATTTATATATTAGGATTTTAGTACTTTTTTCATAGGATAGGGTAACAAACGAGCACACAGTCAACCTGATGGTAAGTTATTGCTCTGGCCCATGAATATCTCCATCTATCCTCGATTGCGAATCAAAATGCAGATGCGTTGTCACCCGTAAGAACTAAGATGGAATGCCTCGTTTCCAGTAAAAAGGGTCACCGGTTCTCTACACTCACCATCCGAAACACAGCAGCATTAAGCTACTATTTTACGTTGGTATTCTGCGAGAGCGTGGTCCTTCCCCGGTCGAGCAGACTCATTCGTGCTACAACTGTACTACAAATATAAATGCAGCATAGCACTACCACGTATAAACTTCCGGCGAAGATCGAAATTTTCAGTTGCGCGCGTACCATAAAAAATTTAAGCCTTTCTCTTAAAACATAGTAGGAAAAATTTTACAACGTTAAACTACCATGGTTTCTTTTTTAACGAAACCACAGAATAATAGTAATTCATTATTCAATCATTTTGATACAAATGTAATTTCGCTTTGCAAATACATTAACAATAAATATACGAAAACAGTTGCAAAAATTATACACAAACACATTATTAAAAAATATTAATTGAAATCAAAACCAAAAAAATTAGAGGCGAATATTTAAACGATGAGGTAAGAACAATATTAGAGTTCAATACTTTTTAACTTTTAAAAGCTTAAAACAAATATTAGTTTATAATCCGACAGAATCCTTTATTTTTATATTAAAAATATGCGTAAAAATTATTTTGTCTCTTACCGTTTTCAATTTCTTATCACTTAGCAGAAAAGTTTTTATAACTTGAATATTTTAGTTCGTATTTTGTCTGTCACTAAGCCCGTGCGCTCACGTCAAAAACTTTCTTTGAAATAAACTTTTCACCTATACCATTTTAATGCCAGGTAACAGAGGGCTTATTTAGGATGCGAATTAGTATGAAAGCAGATTTCTCTTTCCTTCTTTAGTCCGAGTTAAAATAGATGAACACAAAAATATTAACAAATATTTTATTGCTTTCCGTTTTTATTTATATATATTGTATTATTTTATTAAACACAAAATAATATTTCCCAAAATATGCATATAACTTTTATTAACGATAACACCTTACAATAACATCTTAGTAAAATATAAATCCGAAAAAAAATAATTTCGATTAACATAAATAGCAAAATAATTTTTATATAGAGAGAAACAAAAACCTCTTTCTGTATTATTTTAGCTACGCATGAACCTAAGGGTAAATGGCTAAACACTACATGTAAATAAATCTTTACGTTCCTTCGTTTTAGTTTGAACTTAAGGGAAATGTTTTTTAGAAACTATTTACAAAAGCAATGTTTGTCCCATATAAACCCTTTTCTTTTTTACAGTTAGATGATATGACCATCCGATTTAAAAGGCCCCTGATTAGTGACGAAGCAAGCGACGGCAGAGTTCGATATAAATTGGATATCTAAGTTAGGGTGTTTACTTGTTCCCCTAACGTCGCATATCGTCAGTTCATTAAAACCCTTTTCATTAAATGTGCATTCGTGCAATTACAATTAGAAGGTCTTGGTGGACGATTTTTCTGTAGGTTCGTTAGCTTTTACGGCGGCTTACTAAAGAGTTAGGATAAAGATGTTCGAAAAAGAAAGTTATATATTTATTACGCCGGCACACCGCTTGCAACTTTACAAGGCACAGGTTCGGCCTCACATGGAATACTCTTCCCATCTCTGGGCTGGGGCTCCCCAGTGCCAGCTCCTTCCACTTGACCGCATCCCGCGCAAAGCGGCTCGAATACCTAGTCGACGACCGAGTGCTTTCCGATCGGCTCAATTCACTGACGCTGCGAAGAGATGTTGCATCTCTTTGCATTTTCTTTCGCATCCACCACGGGGAGTGGTCTGAGGAACTGTTCGGATTAATCACAGCCGCCAAATTTCATGAACGCACATACTATCCACACCATCTGGATGCTTGGCGGTCCACCATTTCACTAGGAGTTTTCTGCCGCGTACGACCTCTCTGTGGAATAGTTTACCATCGGCGATTTTTCCGGACCGATACGACCTAGAGACCTTCAAGAAAAGAGCTTACTCATTTCCAAAAGGCCGGCAACGTACCTGCAATTACACCCTGGTGTTACAGTTGTTCATGGGCGGCGGTAGGCACTTAACATCAGGTGAACCGTATGCTCGTTTGCCCCCACTCCTATAAATTTTTTTATATAAAATTTTAATTTCTACACTTCAATTGCTATCCTTAATCTCGCAAAAACTCTAATTTTTTTAATGTGTTTGAGTGGATGGTTTAGATTCACAATTGCACGCTGTAGGTGGCGCTGTTGTCTAGATCCAGAAATCACCCGTGCGAAGACGGGGTGGATCGCTGGTAGTGGTAATCAATAAAGTTTAAGATATGAATTAGTTGTTCGTTCCGTCAAAATCTACTATTTCGATAGATGTTTAAAAATTGGTAGGTATTTTGCTTTTTTGCGAACATTGCTACTTATACACATCAAGAGAATCTAGGGATATTTTATACTTCATCAAATGTCTAAAATCTATGAAGAATTGTCTCATACCGTAAATGGAAGAATGATAGGATATTTTAAGGTCTTTAATAAAAAAATAAAAAAAACATTTCGTAATTTTATTCTTTTAAATAAAAAATGTAAAATTTTTAATCGCCGTAGAAAATTAATATGATAAAAAAACTTCATTTCTTCTTATAAATCTGTTAGTTTAAATTAAAATTTAAAAAATCTTATAAAAATAAACAATTAATAATCAGCGTTGCCAGGCTCTTACAATAATCACACGTCAGCATCGATTGTTCGTACTTAAAATTAAATTGTCAATGTCTTGCTATGGTATGAGGTTCCATGTTCTTTACGAGTGTTCTTAAAGTTGTTGTTTCGTCGTCAAATTTAGCGGGAAATCTCTCAAAACTTTAAGTTATAATATATCCCAGGCATGCTCGATAGGATTTAAGTCGGGCAACTGTGCAGGCCAATCCAAAACTTGAATATCGTGGTCTCGAAGTGCGGCCGACACTAGCCGCGCCGTATGGTAACGAGGATTATCGCGCATGAATAGAAATTCTACACCATTTGGATTCTGTGTGGGATAACAACAAGCTCTATTACCTCCTCGTGGTATTTTTCTGCAGTCATGCTACCATCGTTCCAAACGAGCTGGATTCGTCCAACCAAGACGAATTCCTGCCCAAACCATGATTGTCCCGCTTTGGTATGGGTGGACTTCCTGAGGGTGCTGTAGACGGCTAACCCTGCCTGGAGTTCTCCAAACGCGTGTTCTTCGTGAATCCGGATGAAACCCAAACCGGGACTCATCGGTGAACATCACCAAAGGCCATTGTTCGTCACTCTGTGGTAAATTCTCCCCAGCCCACGAAAGCCACCGACCGCGATTGCTACATCGCGATGCTGGAACACGTAGTGGTCTGTGAGCATGAGGACCAACTTCATGCAACCTCCTTCGCACCCTTTGGTCGCTTACCAGCAGCTGGTAGTCCTCCTCCTGAATCCTTTGTAGTAGTTGCATCGCTGTGATATTGGGTTGTCTTCTGACGGTGATTCGGAGAAACCAATCCTGTCTCTTTGTGATAACACGATATCTACCCGTGTGCCGTTCAACCACATCCCCACTACTGCGATAACGTGACCACAATCTTGATATCACGTTTTGACTGGTGTGTAGGGCCTCAGCAACGACGCGTTGGTTAGCACCATTTTCTGATATTTCTACGGCTCGTAACATTTCATCTTGACTCATATAACGACGTCACATGACCTATAAAGCTCACACGGCACGTTAAATTAAAAAAGAAAAACAATCTAATCCCTTTTCATTAATTAATATCAGTGAAACAAT